GCAAAGACTTTTGACTCTGTGGATCATGACAAGCTATGGACAACATTACAAAGAATGGGTATTTCAGAACATTTAATTGTACTCATGAGGAACTTGTACAGACTAAGAGGCAGAAGTTCCAACAGAACAGGGGCAATGAACAATTTAAAATCAGAAAACGAGTGCACCAGGGCTGTATTCTTTCACCATACTTATTCAATTTGTAGGCTGAGCAAATAATCAAAGCATTCTATGAAGAATAATGTGGCATCAGGCTTGGAGGAAGACTCATTAACAAGCTATATTATGCAGATGATACAACCTTGTTTGCTGAAAGCGAAGAGGACTTAAAATACTTATTGATGATGATCACAGCCTTTAGTATGGATTCCACCTCAATGTAAAGAAAACAAAAATTCCCACCACTGGACCAATACATAATAGCATGATAAATAGAGAAAAGATTGAAGTTGTTAGACTTCATTTTGCTTGGATCCACAATCAACACTAATGGAAGCAGCAGTCAAGAAATCAGACGATGTATTGCACTGGCCTAATTTGCTGCACAAGACCTCTTTAAAGAGTTACAGAACAAAAATATCAGTTTGAGGACTAAGCTGCGCCTGACCCAAACCATGGTATTTTCAATAGCTTCATATGCACGTAAAAGTTGGACAATAAATAAGGAAGACCATAGATGAATAGATACATTTGAGTTGTGGAGTTGTGGACTATCAGAAAAACAAACAGCTCTGTGTTGGAAAAAGTACAGTAGAATACTCCTTAGAAGCCAGGGTTGTGAGACTTTTTGGTACTTTTTCATACTTCAGCCATGGTAGCAGGAGGGACTGGTCACTGAGAATGGTGTCAAACTTAACAAAGTGGAGGGTCAGCAAAATAGATAGACCCCCAGCCAGATGGATTTGCACAGTGGCAGCAATAATGGGCTGAAAAATACAAAACAATAAAGGCAGTCCAACTGACTACTACAAGAACAAGCAAGTTGCTCACCCAAGGGACATCAAGGCAAGTGGTCGGGTGCTAAGACTCAATGGGAATACACAAGCAGACATGTGCTCTGATTGATGATCACGTTCGTCACCAATAAGGGGAAGTGAGGGGAAAACAGTAAGGAAGCTGCGATTTAAGTAAACCCTACAATGTTCAATAGACTCCTGTGAACCTGGGTGGAGACCTGGTTGGCCA